TCGGGGGTTGCCTGGCTCAGAGGGGCTTACCATGCCGCTTACCCCCGCCTCCCAGAGCCTCAGCGAGCCGCGTCCAGGAGCTCCTGCCGCTCAGCCCGCCGGAGCTCACAGCCCTGCCCCCTTACCACGTGGCTCTGAGCGGGAGGACCTCAGGCCCCGCCCGAGCCTCACCGCTGTAGCACTGTCCAGGGCCGCTCCTGGACGTGGCGCGCTGAGGCACCGGGGGATGGCGAAGGCGGAGGCGGGGGGGGAGCCTCTGACATTCTCGTGGGGGGCCCCTGTGGGGCCCGGGGCAAATTGCCCCACTTGCTCCCCCCTCTGGGTGGCCTTGGTGGGGGAGCTGGGCAGAGCCGGGCGGGTTAAGATTTGGGGTTATGATGGCAGGTGGGTGCCGGCATGGTGGGAGGCACTAGACTATGTTTATTGTGGCCAGCGGGTGGTTTTAAAGGTGCCCTGCAAAGAACCCAGCTGGGGCTGGTTCTGCCTCTTCACTGCCGGATAAAGTCTGGGATGCCACCCACCTGATCTGCCAGCCACCTTCTGCACTGGGGCTTTACCACTCAGAAAGACGCCGGTTGGGCCTTTGTGTGCAGGGGAGCATACCACGCTGCCATGTTGGTGTTCGCACCCCAGTGCGCTCCCATCAATAGACGTGTCTGACTGGCGCTGGGGATGGATGGGTGGCATTTCCCCGCCATGCCAGGGCAGAACTCACCCATCTGGGCATGGCTAACCCAGCCCTGCCAGCTGGACTGCACTCAGCCCATCAGTAAGTGCCCACCAGACTCCCCACTATTTTCTCTCTGGGGTGGGGGACACATAACAAAACCAGCACAAAATTCCCTGCCCAGCTGTGTTGTCTTCAAAGGGGCACTGCCAACACCTGGCAGCAGACTCCCCGGGCGCTAGCTCTGGACCAGCCCTGCAGTCCCAGGAGGAGATGCTGGCTCCTGAATGGAGGTGACGTGTTTTCCTGCCTGGCCTGCAGACGCTAAACTCAGCATCCCCAGACCCACCCACCCCAGGTGCGGGGAGATGTTTGTGGCCTAGAGTGAAAGGGCCCGAATCGCGCACAGGGCACAAAGGCTGATGATTGGGTGCCCTGCTGAGAGCCTGTGCCCTGGTCACAGTCCAGCCGGAAGCCTGTCAGGAGCGCCGATAACCCCGCCAGCCCTGGCTCTCCGCCCGCCCGCTGCACGCACATGGCAAAGGCAGAGGCTGTCACTCCCGGGGCGGCTGGGCTGGCCCCGCATGGAGCCTGCCTGACTCTGCCGGACCTGGTGACCCTGAGGTGATGTGTACGGGGTCCTGTACGGCAGTGCGTGGATTTCCCCAGGCAGCCAGGCTGGGGCGGGTAGTTGGGTCCCTGGAGACGCTGCCGGGCTTGGGACCATGCGTGCGACTCTCCCAGCAGCAGGATAGATGTGCAGAGGCCTGGCTGTGGCTGCAGGTCCCCTGGCTCCAAGTCATAGAATATCAGGGTTGGAAGGGACCTCAGGAGGTCATCTAGTCCAACCCCCTGCTCAAAGCAGGATCAATCCCCAACTAAATCATCCCAGCCAGGGCTTTGTCAAGCCGGGCCTGAAAAACTTCTAAGGAAGGAGATTCCACCACCTCCCTATGTAACCCATTCCAGTGCTTCACCACCCTCCTAGTCATAGAACATCAGGGGTGGAAGGGACCTCTGGAGGTCATCTAGTCCAACCCCCGGCTCAAAGCAGGACCGATCCCCAGACAGATTTTTGCCCTAGATCCCTAAATGGCCCCCTCAAGGATTGAACTCACAACCCTGGGTTTAGCAGGCCAATGCTCAAACCACTGAGCTTCTGATCACACAGCCCAGGGCGGGGCCCCAGCAACGGTGCTCTGAGCCAGGCTGCCTGCACCGTATCTGGGGAGCCGACCGAGCCGTGCTCCATAGACCTGCACACACAAGCGGTGGCCACACCGGGGCCTCGTCTGCCCTGCACAGGAGCGAGCCCCCAGTGCTTTGACGGTGCGGCTCAGGTTGCAGCTCAGCCTCTTGGCCTCCTCTCCTCCCCACCCCAAGCCACATCATCCAGGCATCCACAGCTGTTTAGCGCGCTAGCCCGAGTCTATTGACCTGGGCTGGGAGGTGTGCTCCAAATGCTGTGTAGACATAACCCTAGAGTCCTGGCTCCATGCCCTCTCCCCCTGCAGCGCCCCGCCCTGATGGCAGGGTCCAGGCCCTCTGCCCCAGACACACCCATTGCCCAGCCCCCAGGGGTTGGGAGGGAGAGCTCAGTGGTTTGAGCATTGGCCTGCTAAACCCAGGGTTGTGAGCTCAATCCTTGAGGGGGCCATTTAGGGATCTGGGGCAAAAATCTGTCTGGGGAGTGGTCCTGCTTTGAGCCGGGGGTTGGACTAGATGACCTCCTGAGGTCCCTTCCAACCCTGATATTCTATGATTCTATGAATGCCGAGGGGAACTTGCCTCTAGGCCTGACCTGGAGTTGTGCTGCCGCAGAGCGGGGATTAGCCGCATGGCCCCAGGGCGGGGAACGGCTGCGGGGCGAGGTGTTGGCAGAGGCCTCGCCCAGAGCGCTGTCGCTCTAGCAGTGGCGGGGAGCTTGCCCAAAGCCCAGCTCCAGGGGCAGTTACATGTGTCAGGGTCACAGCAACTCGTGCTCAGGTGTGTGACCCATCCTGAGCGTGGCTGCCAGGCAGTGACAAGGCCTGGGGACCGAAGAGGCCAGCGTAATGCCCCACCTGCCCTGGGTGGTGCACCTCGGGGGGGTGGGGACATGGGCCGCAGGCTGCCCTTGGGCACTCCAGCCCCCTATCCAGGGCAGGTGGATGGTCTGGGGCTCCCCACTGCAGGAGGGCAGCAGGCAGCTGCAGCCAGGCGGGGTGGCCGCCTTTCCAAACACCACCACTGCATGCTGGCCTGGTGGACCAGGGTGATTTAACTAGTAGAGGGAATCTCACAGCGCTGAGTGCCCGCAGCCTGGGGGGCTGGGCTGGGACACCCCCAGAGCCACTGCAGCGTGTACCTGCCTAGCTTTAGTGCACGTTGCAGTGACTGCGGTGGCGGGGCCCACCACACGCAGAGCCCCGCGGAGCACAGGCTCCCTGCACGCTGGCCAGACAGGAGCCGAGGGCAGACATGCGAGAGACGCGAGTGCTGAGGCAAATGAAGCCCCCGCATGCTCTCCGATAGAACTGGCAGCTGTCAGGAGTTTATGTTCAGCCGCCTTCCATTGCAGCGCGATGCCCAGGCGGTGGAGGGCTCCTGGGGCACGAACACACACGCCCCGTGGGTGCGACCCCCATGGCTCGCCGGGCGCTGTGCAGCGGGTGACTCAGCGGTGAGCAGCTCGCTGGAAAAGCTCTCTTTATTTACAGGAATAAGGCCACAGCACTGGGAAATCAGGCAGGTTAGGAAAACGTCTCACAACAGCCATGAAAGGAAATATTAAACGCCCCCAGGCTAGCGCCCCTGCAGAGCTGACCAAACCGGAACAGGCAATTGCCAACCAACCCCCAGCTTCGAGTGTGGTGAACCCAGCTGGGTGGGCAGGGCCGCCGGGCTCCCAGCTCCAACCTGGGCAGCAAATGCAGGCCTCTGGCAACTGACAGCAGCTGCAGGGGCCTCCAAACCCGGGGGTTCCCCGTATGACCCGGGAAAAGCCCACGAAGGCGGGTGCCCCAGACAGCGTCACAGAGCAGAGATCGGCCCTGAAGCCAATAGCAGGAATCCGGGCTTGGCCCCCACATGGAGCGCCAGCCTGTGAGTGGGGCAGTGGGTGGAGTCCTGCCAGGGACCGGGCACTCAAGAGAAAAGGAGGCAACGTTTGCTGGCTAGAGACGCCTGCGCCAAGCCCCGTGGCCAGGCCATGTTGCGTGGGGCTCCTCTCCTGCACGCGGCTGGTGTGGAGCTCGGCGAGGCCTCTGCGCTGCCCCATCTGCCTGGCCCTTCCCGTCTCTCATGCTGAATGCTCCCCCTCAGCGTGTGGGGCAGCCTGGGGAATCCCTCCCGCATGGGATCGCAGCCCACGTTGGGGGAAGCGTCAAAAGTCTTTCTTCAGGGATTCTGTTGCCAATGACCAGGGGCCAGACGTGTCTAGCAGGCACTGGGGGTGGGCACGGTAGTAGCCAAGCGCTCGCCCCCAGGCCCACGGTGCCCCGAGAGTCTCTCTGGGCTTTGGGCATTACAGACGTTGCGCCCGCCTGGCACAGAACGTGCTCGGCTTTCTACGCCTGGACTCCTGTCGCCCCCGCGTCCAGCGGCTGCAGCACGACCCTGGTCTTCTCGCCCCTCCTGGGAATGGCAGAGCTGTTTGGCATGGGACTGTGGGCAGCAGGGCAGGGGGCCTGGCACTCCCCCATCGTCCCCGCAGTGGGGCTGCTGGACTCCGCCATCCAGGCACCTGGAAAGGAATCACCTTTTACTAACAGCGAGCAGCAGTGGCCGAGCAGGCTGAGAGCGTGACACTGCCGTCCACGGGCCGGCCAGGCCTGGCATGGGGACCCCAGCCCTGGGCAGAGCAATCCCTTCCGAGGGGCCACGGGGAATTTTCCTTGTTCACAAGGAGATCGTTTGTACCGTGTTCCCCCTGCAGGCCGCGAGCCCGAGTGAAGGCCCAGCGGGGCTCAGAGGAAAAAACCCGCTGGCCCATTTGGGAGTCAGGTGCTGATGACAAGGGACGCTCTGAGCCTCTGCCCAACAAGTTTGTTTCCTCGTGGGATGGGCACGATGGCAGGACTTGCCACGCAGAGCCATGGTGTCTCCAACTGGTACAGGGCAGGGGCATGCCCAGAGGCAAACCTGCAGGCTGAGGGGCTGGAAGGGCCGGGTCTGGCCTACTGCCTGCACAGAGCACTCAGCGACACGCCAAGGGCAGTGGGCTAGGAGACCTAGTGTCTCTTCCGGCTCGGGCACAGCCTCACTGCACCATAGGTCACGTCCCAGCCTCGTGCACCCCGCACCGAGCAGCGGGAGACCAAGCCCACCCCGCCCAGGGATGATGGCCAGGAGCCAAGAGAGGCCTACACGGGAGCAGAAGGCCGCAGCGCAGGACACATCAGAGTGTCGAGGGTCCAGGTCAAAATGTATCTGGCCCAGCGCCTGACCTTGGATCAAACCTTCTCCTCTGCCCCGTCCAGCCCCCATGGATTCAGGCATCGCTCCCACGTCACACTCATGTAACCTGGCTCCCTTTCTGCCAGTGCCCCTTACTAGCCTGACCCCCAGCTCCCACAGCACTGCCCAAAGCGGCTTTGCCTCACCCTCACCCCAAGCGGTGCCCATGTCAGCCAGTCACCTGCCAGGGTGTCCTGGGACTCAGAGCCAGGTCAGCGCCTGCTGGGAGCTAATCACTGCACGCAGTACACTGCAGTGCCCCAGGGACGGACGGGCTGAGCCTGCTGTGGGGAGCGGCAGCCTGGCTGGGGGCAGTGCATGGGGGCTGGGCTGTGGAGCTCCAGGGCTGGGACGAGGCCACCAGAGGCTTTGCAAATCCAGGTTATTTTGTGTGGAGCTGAGCTGCATCCAGAGCCCCAGGGTGTGTTTGTGCTTGAACCGGGCCCTAGAGAGCCATGTGCCCAGCTGGTAGAGTTCTTGTGCCCGCCCACCCCAGCCCAGGCTGCACACTGGGCAGGTTATTCCAAAGTTCACTAAAATTTGCACCTGCCTCCAGATCAGCTGGACAGGCCAGTGTCCCAGCCTGGGGAAGCCTGGCCTGGCTGGCTCACTGGTTTGATCCAGCGTGGCCACTCCTGAGGCCAGGCCGGCATGAGAAGGGACAAGGTGCCAGTAATCACTAAGAGGAAGAGACTGGCTTCTTCCCTGCAGCTGCCCTCACTGTCAGCCCGCAGCGAGGCGAGGCGAGGCTCCAGCGTGGCTGCGGCGGGGGAAGCAGGCTGCCCTGCAGCCGGCGCCCGTCTCTAGCCGAGCGTCTCACCTGCTCACTGAGGCATGCAGGTGTGCGAGGCTGTACAGGCCTGCGTCGGCCAGCTGGCGCATTGGCAATCAATGGGGAGTGAGGGCTGCACATACTGGCCCAGCTCCCTGAGCCCCTCCCTGCTCGCAGATGCCCAGTGGGACCCAGGCAGCGATGCCGCACTCCAGTAGCACACACCGCAGCTACAGGGAGGCCAGCAGCATGCTCGCTGGGCGGCAGGAGCGCTGGCTCGAACTGCTGGCCAAGGCACATGGTCATTTAATCTGTTCTGTGATAGCCTTGGGGGTAGGGGGGGCAGTGCCCTGCTGTGGGGAGGCTGGAGCTCACCCCAGGATCTGGGCAGGCTGCTCCATGATGGCCAGCACTGTTGGTAATCTACAGAGAGCACCGCCTGGAAGAAAGGGGGGGGGTGATGCTGGCAGGCCAGGTGCCAGCTCATGCCAAGGTCCCCATGTCTCTACTGGACACTGACAGACCCAGGGCTGGAATCGCTGTAGTTCACGTGGGGGTTAATACTGATCAAATAGGTATGCGGATGATAAGGACGTGTTTGGTGGTTGGCCTCTAGTGAATGCCTGGGAGATGCCCCCTGCATTGAGCTGTATTCCATACCATTGGAGTGGGTGGAGGGTGAGCCTCTATGAAGCGCCACTAATGAGTGTGAGGAGCTGCTCTTCTGCAGAAGTTGTTACACCCGCTCCTGAAGGAGGAGACCCAGCGATACCAGACAGGCTCTGGTGGGATCCTGCGACTGGAAACTCCTACATCCGGATTGAGAAACTAAACGCTCTCCTGTCCTGCTCTCCTCCCCGTGAAGATGCATCACCGAGTGGACTCCTCCGTCAGCTGAGTTTGCAGCTGAGAGCATTATGGCCAGAGGGGGATAAAACCCCTAGACAAAAGGAACTAGGTATCTGTGCTGCTTGGACTTGGGGGTGGGGGCGAGGAAGGAGTTTCCTAGGCATAAGCAAGGGATCCCCAGTGCTCAGCCTGGGTTAGCCCTAAAGGACAATAGAGCTTGCTGATTATAGACACCTCTGTTACCCTTTGAAAGCTAAGACCTCATTGGTGTGTGTCTCTATTCGCTTGCTTTGACCTTGTAAATAACTCTAGTTTTCTTCTCCTAGGTAATAAATCTTCATATAGTTTATTAGAGGATTGGCCACAAGCGTTGTCCTTGGTGAGAGCTAACATGCAATTGACCTGGGGCAAGTGACTGGTCCTTCGGGACTAGGGGTACCTGACCATTGCTGTGATTCTTGAACTGAAGAAGGGTCACCTGTCAGGGAGATACGCTGCCGTGGGTGGCAAGCCGGAGCGGAGTACCCTGGGGCTGGCGGGTCTCCGTGTTCAGGCTGTCAGAGTACCGGGGCAGTTTGCATTTGGGGCAGTTGGTTGGTTGGAAGTTCAGGGGTTTGTGCCCAGGTTTTTATCAGTCTGCCCTGAGTTTGGCACTCACACTTGGGAGCGCTACGGGGCAGAGGGTGTTCGGTAGCAGGAAGGGGCTGGGACACTTATCCAAGGAGTCGCCAGAGGGGGCTGTTTGGGGACTTTTTCCTGCTCCCGGTCACGGGCTGGGTGGGGAACTCTCCTCCCTTTCCTAGCCGCTGGGTAGGAGCGGGCTCCAGGACTCTCCCTTTGATTGTTCTGCCTCCCCTCCTGGGGAGTCTCCCAGCGGTTTTTTCTCGGTGCTCCCTAGGAGCCTTGGCGGTTCTCAGCCCCTGCTCTAGGGGTGAGTGGAGGGTGCTCCTGTGTCTGGCCTGGCTGGCACCTCACCTAGGCACCATGTGCCCGCTCGTGTGTGTCACAGGGACTCCACAGAGGACAAGATTCTGTTCCAGCCCCAGCGTGGGAGCAAGGCCTGGAGCCGGGGTTCTGGGACCCTGCCAGGAGGGAGGGGCCCAGAGCTCAGGCTGCAGCCCACGCCTGAACGTCTACACTGCAATGAAACAGCCCCGCAGCCCGAGTCAGCTGGCAGGGGCCAGCCGCAGGGTCTAAGTGTAGACGTGCCCTGAAGGGCCCGGGGATGCTAACGGCTCTGGCTGATCTCCTGGCCTAGTGCTGCCCAGGAGGGGGCGAGTCCAGGGCTACCCAGAGAGTGCGGTGCCTGAGCAGGCTTCGGGCACCCTAGGCCACCCTAGGGACCATGGTGCACGTGGCTGGCCCCCAGGAGAGGCCTGGCGGGTGAGGCGTGCGTGCCCTTGGCTGGGGAGGATGCAGTGCTGCAATGCCAGAGCAGGCCGGCCCGCCAGTGTCCCAGTCACCGTGTGCCAGGCAGCACGAGCACTAACACTTGCCGTTTGGCCCAGCGAGGGGCCGGGTCCCGTTCAGTGCTGCCTTCCCCTCCGGCTTCTCAGCAGCAGGTGTCCCCTCGGGCCTCTGGGAGTACTTGGCCTCCATGTCCTCCAGCCAGCCGGTGCTCCACTCCCAGGTGGGAAGGGGAAGGGGCTCCGCTCCAGCCCACGCCGCGCCCTCCCAGCGCTCGGGACGGGGAAGGAGCCCATCCAGCGGGGAAGCGGGCGGCGAGAAGTCTGTGGGAAAGAGCAACCCCAGAGTTACGCTGCGAGGCTCAGGGAGGGGGTGGGCGAGAGTCGGTGACCCCAGGGACCCCCGGGCTGGCCTGCGCCCCGCCCCGCCCCATCGTCACTAGGGGTTACACTGGCGTGGCAGGCGCAGCAGAAGGGCAGCGTGGCTGACGCAGCGCAGGGCAAAGGGCCAGGCCATTCCCATGCCAGTGTTCAGCAGGTGGAGCAGAGCTCGGAGCCCACTCCATGGGGTGCCAGGGCACGTGCGTCTCAGAGCAGGGACGGGCGTGACCCTGAAGCCCGGCCACTGCATGGGGACAGGCCTGACCTCGATGCTCACGTGGCTCCCCCCAGCCCAGGACAGGTGGCCTCGCGCTGCTAGCTGAGAAGTGGTGCTAGGGGCTGACAACATTGCCACTTCGCTGGCATCGCACAGGGCTGGTGTCCCATCCATGGCGCTGGCACCGCCAGCTGGCACCTCAGGCAGTCAGGCCCCTCTGCAGACACAGGCCTCTCCTCAGAGCCTGCTCCCTTTGCAGCGTCCTACAGGGCCCCTGGTCTGCAGCAGCCTCCCGCTCCCTGGCTCCCGTCCAGCTTCACCCTGGGACCAGCTATGGCCCTTCCTCTCACAGGCACAGTGTAGGTGCGTGCCAGGCACACTGGGGAGCGGCCGCTGGAGCTAGGCTGGGAGTGACGCACCGGGCTGGCACTGCAGTGGGCGCTGGCGGGAGGAGGAGCTGCGCCTTGGGCCAGTGAAGCTGTTTCAGCTGGACAAGGTACAAGCAGCCCGGAGAGGCGCTAACCCAGCTGGTTCCCGCTGGGCCCTGCAGGAAAGTCAGCTCCTGGAGCACAGTTGCCTGTGGACGAGGTGTGAGTTGTGTAAACGCGGGCGCCATAGGGCATGGCTGAGCTCAGCGCATCAAATACCCTGAAAGCCCCCTGCCCTCGGTGAGGGGCACATGGGCCCCTGAGAGCCCCCACCTTCAGTGAGGGGCAGGTGTATCCCTGAGAGCTCCCCGCCCTCAGTGAGGGGTATGTGGGTCCCCAAAACCCCCCTCCCTCAGTGAGGGGCAAGTGTATCCCTGACAGCCCTCCACCCTCGGTGAGGGGCTGTGATGTTATGAGTATATTATAATATCTCATTGAAAGGTGTCAGGGCCAGAAAAAGTTAATTAACTCACAGACTGACCTGACCCATGGCCGAACTTTAGAGATTGGTTAGGAAGATGCGTAAATGAATAGAGCTTTGAAATGCAAGTCTGCATGGTTAGAGATAGACGGGTAGAGGGTTGCTCAGGGCTTGGGATGTAAGCAAACAAGTCTTGTCTATTGCTACAGCTTTGATTCAAAGATCGAAAAAGGAATATTAACATTTAGGAAGACCCTTGAGTGAAATAGCATTATTGTCTATATGTCTCTTTGACGGTTGTGGTAACCTGTATCTGAACTGTTCAATGGATAAATTGCCCTGTGCTAATTGCCATGATGTTGAGGAGAAGGAAAGTTAAGCCTATTGTTTTCTCAGGCCAAAAGGCTGCTGGAAATGTATAAAAACCCTGGGACACAATCCTTCTTCATCTCAGATCTGCTTTGGGTTTCAAGAGGGGGAAACCTTAAGCCATAAGGATTGAGATCCACAGTCACCAACTGGAGTCACCCTGAACATGGACATTGGACTATAACCTATGGACTATATCTAAAAGGACTTTTGGCAACTACAAGCTCATCTCTGCTAAGTATCTGAACCTCAAGAATTGAATTCAAGTCTGTCTGTATATTGATCTTTTAACCAACACTCTCTCTCTCTTTTTTCTTTTTCAATAAATTGTAGTTTAGTTAACAAGAATTGGCTATAAACGTGTATTTTGGGTAAGATCTAAGTTATAATTGGACCTGGGTGTGTGGTGTGTGGCTGATCCTTTGGGATTGGAAGAACCTTTTCTTTATATGATGAGATAAGATTTTCAGTAATCATCATCATATGTTTCACATGTGTGGCTGGACCGAGGCCTGAGGCTGGGTACTTTAAGGGAACTGCATTATTTGGACTTCTGAGTAACCAGTGAGGTACTAGAGAAGCTGTTTTGGGCTGGCTTGGCTTGGCAAATCTAAGTATTGGAATATCCACCAGCTTCTGGGGTTTGTCTGCAGTTCACTCTAATTGAGTGACCTCAGCTGGCTCCCATGGGCAGCATCGTCACAGGGGCAGGTGGGTATCCGAGAGCCCCTTGCCCTTGGTGAGGGGCTGGACATAGCTGGGAGCAGTTCTGGGCCCAGTAACTAACAGAATCATGTGGCTCCCCAAAGAGCTAAGGGGGCGACACAGGCCCATCTGGCTCTCTAGCCGGTTCGTCAGCGATTCTGGGCAGGATGCACCAAGACCGCGCGTCTCGTTTCCTTTTGCTATCTCGTCTGCTCCCAGTGCTGTCGTTTCGGGTTAACAGTAGCTAGGGGACCTGGAGTGACAGCGGATTTACTGAAGCCCAGACCCTGAGCAGCAGGCGCAATGCAGTACACGCAGACGCCCGAGGCTGCAGTGTGCAGAGAGTGGGGCACGCTCTGGCCTGACCCCCCCGGCCGGGGCCCCTCTGCGGGGACGGCGGGCAGCGCATGGGCACAGTTGGGTTCTGCTAGTGTAACGCCAACAGACCCTGGTTGTCAGTGGGCAGGATCGAACTGGGGACCTCTGGAGCTTAGTGCATGAGCCTCTACTGCATGAGCTTAAAGCCAACTGGCTGTGAGCTAAGGCTGTAGAGCAGACTCATTAATCTCTCTCTCTAAGTGGTCTCGGTGCCACTAGATGGGACAGAACGCCACCCCCAGACGGTGTGTGGGTTACACTAGCAGTGGGTTACTACATGAGCAGCTCTTTGGCTGGGCTGGGCAGAGCCGGGGGCATGTCCTGCCTGTGCCTCTGGGAGGTGAGTCAACGCCGCCTGGGGCATCGCAACCAGAATTCCCAACCCCTGAGAACGGACGTCTCCCTGGTGCCCGCCCAGGCTGGGCAGACAGAAACCTGCCTGTGCTGGTCACACAGAGGCAGGGCACAGGCTGTAACGTGCCCCTAATCTGCTAACCTGGGCGAACACCTCCCCGCTGTGCCCCGGACTCCAGGGACCATCAGCCCGCCCGCTGGAGAAGGAAGGCTGCACACCGCATACCGACCCCCAGGAGGCACGGGGCCCCCTGAGTGCAAGGCCTCTGGACGCTCTCCCTGGGGGTGCACCTCCGCCCTGCACCTCCCCCTGCTGCCCATACTCTGTGCAGGTCCCTGCTTCTGCTGCTGTAACACAAACTGCTCTTTCCACATCTGGATGAGATGTCTTCCCCTCAGGGAGAGAGATCTGGGGGGAGAGTGTGTCTGAGCAACCCCCTCGCCCCAGCCCCCCAGGGCAGTGCCCCAAGCGTGGGGGCAAGCAGGGATCCCCACGGTGCAATGCAGCATAGGGCCAGACAAGTGCAATAGCCACGCAGGCGTCTGCCCTGCCCGTGGGAGAGCGAATCCTAGACCAGACCAGACCAACCTGCCCTGGCCAGCCTGGGGGTGTAAAATCAGGCCCCAGTGTCCTCTCTAAATGCAGCCTCTCCTCACACAGGAGCGGCTGCGCCGAGCGTGCCCCGAGGCTGGGCGCCGGCACACACTGCTGGATCCGTGTGCACAGGCCCGCCCTGACTAGCGCTGTCAGCTCCAGGGTACGGATTCCATGCCAGACCTTGCTCTACTCTGCCGGCCGGCACAGAGCCTGGTGCTGGGGGGACGCCCTGGCCAGCTTGGCCCTGAAGCTATGAGCCCGGCCAAGTCACCCTCCCCACACTGTCACGTTCCCAGGGGTTAGGTGCAGTGGTTCTTCAGAGCCCCCATTAATTAACATCTGCAGTCCCCTCTCCAGGGCAGGCCAAAGAGGTTTGGCAACTGAGCTCTTAGTTAATTGGCATTCTCGGTCCTAAGAGAAACAGAAAACTAACCTGCCCCCCATCTGCCCCTCCAACTGCCCCCAAGGCCTGGCAGAAAGCAGGGCCTAGTGCAAGCGCTTTGAGCGCCTATCCCCCGGGCTCTCGGCACAGGCACGGGCGGGATCCATGTACCTGGGTAGGCCTGCTCGGCCTCGCTCGGGCTCAGCCCAAAGCAGAAGCTGTCCACGGCCACGGCCAGGGCCTGCGCGAAGTTGGCGTCCACGAGGAAGGAGCCGTCGGAGGAGCTGACCAGGCTGCAGCGTGTGCTGGTGAAGTTCTCCTCGGAGACCGAGCCCCAGCCGTTGAGCAGGGAGCCGCCCAGCGAGCCCTCCGCCTCGCTGCGGCTGGACGAGGGCGTCCGGCAGTACCGGCGCAAGAAGGGCATGGACTGACAGCCGCCCCCCTCCGCGTCGGGGTCGTCGTCCTCTTCGGGGGCAGGCCCCGCCCCCAGCTCGGAGCGCAGTGGGCCGCAGATGTACCCGTAGGTGTGCGGGGGGGAGAAGGCGCTCTCCTGCCGGTGCCTTTGGAGAGAGAACGTGGAGCTGGCATTAACGTGGGCAGTAGCCTTAGACGGGAACTCACGGCCCCAGTGCAGAGAAGGCTGGGCCTGGGCTCCCTGGGGGGACTCCGATCCCTGCCGCGGCAAAGTCTCGCTCCTGGGGTGGTTCACGGCCAGCCCTGCACTTCCCAGTGACACGCGGTCCAGGGTCCCACCCACGCTCCCCGGGGCCCATTCAGGGGCCAGGGGCCAGCCCGAGCTTATTGACACGTTCTCAGCCGTCAAACCTGCAGGGTGTGACCCCCAGCTCGTGGAGCGTAGCCGTGACTGAAATGGGGGACACCTGCCTGATGCACTAGAGCTGCTGGGGTGTGAAGCCTGCTGTGGCTCGATGCAATGGGGCTGGGTGCAGGGGGTCTGACGGGGCAGGGTTCGCGGCTTGGCTGATGTCCCCTTAGAGCCGTATGGCTGCAGGTACCAGCTGGTAGGTTTGGTTTTTCAATCCGGCCGGGCTGGTTTGCTAGCAGCTCTGCGCTATGAATTGTCTGGGGCAGGGCTCTGGCCTGTGCTGTGCGGGGGACCAGGCGAGATGATTACAGCAGTCCCTTCTGGCCCTGGCACCTATGAAATAAACCCATTAAAAACACCCTGTTGCTCCTTACTGCGCTACGGCTGCCCTGACCCCTCACAGCTGGAGCACACAGGCAAGTGAGGGTGAAGATATGTGTGTGTGCAGGCAGGTGTGTGAATGTGCAGGCGGGCATGTATGTGTCAGTGTGCAGGCAGATGCGTGTGTTTGTGGGGGTGAGTGTGCAGACAGGTGAGTACACGTGTGCAGGTGTGTGTGGGTGAGTGTGCAGGCGGGTGTGGTGAGTGTGCAGGTGGTTGTGGAGGTAAGTATGCAGGTGTGTGTGTATGCAGGCATGTGCTTGTGCGGGGGGGTGAGTGTGCAGGCAGGTATGGGTGGGTGGATGTGTGCAAGCAGGTGTGTGCATACAGGCAGGCGTGGGTGTGCAGGTAGGTGTGCATGGGGGTGTGAATGTAAAGGGGTGTGTGTGTGTGTGTAGGCAGGTGTTTGTGAGTGTGCAGGTGTGTGTGTGCATATGGGTGTGTGTGCAGGTGGCTGTGTGTGCAGGTGTGTGTAAGCGCAGGCAGCTGTGTGTTAGTTTTTCAGATGTGTGTGAGAGAGTGTGCAGGTGTGTGTGGGTGCAGGCAGGTGTGTGTGCAGGTGAGGTGTGTGCAGATGGCTGCATGTGAGTGTGCTGGTGTATGTGCAGGTGGCAGTGTGTGTGTGCAAAGGTGTGTGTGTGTGCACAGGTGTGTGTAAGTGGCTGTGTGTAAGTGTGCAGGTGCTTTTGTGTGTGCAAGTGTGTGTGTGTGAGTGTGAAGGTGTGGGTGTGTGCCTGCAGATGGCTGTGTGTGTGTGTGCAGGTGGTTGTGTTTGTGTGTGTGTGTGCAGGCAGCTGTGTGTGAGTGTGCAGGTATGTGTGTGTGTGTGTGTGTGCGCATGCATGCAGGTATGTGTAGGCAGCGGTGTGTGAGTATGCAGGTGTGTGTGTGTGAGTGTCCAGGTGTGTGGGTGTGTTCAGGGGTGTGTGTGTGTGTGTGTGTGTGTAGGCAGATGTATGTGTGTGTGCAGGTATGTGTGAGTGTAGGGGTGTGTGTGAGTGTGCAGGGGTGTATTTGAGTGTGCAGGGGTATGTGTGAGAGTCTGCAGATGTGTGTATGTGCAAGTGTGTTTGTGTGTAGGTGGGTGTGGGTGCAGGCAGCTGTGTGTGAGTGTGAAGGCAGGTG